ACCGCTCTGCTGCTGAGGCCTCCACTGCTGCCTGTCCACCACGTCTCTCCGGGCACCTGGCTGCACGCGGTGTGAGCCAGAATGTGCCGGAAGACTGCATTATCTGTGGATTGAGTGATTTATTAAATGAGTGATTTCTCCTCTTTTTTATAGTAGCATCATCATCTGTTGAAGACTATGTCAAATCGTCCTAAGTACCTGACGTTTAACTGCACAACAGCCCTCAGTCAGTCACTATTATTCTCCATATGTTCCAGGTGGAGCCCAAGAGCCGATCTTTTTCCCTCTGCAGCCCACACTGGCTCAAGTGGAACACCAACAGAAAGTGCGAACTGTGAGTTTTCCCATCAGCCCCTTCTCACAGTAGGACACTGCTAGTATCCATTAAAAAGATGTACAGGCTCTGAAGGTCTGGGGTTTGTCCCATCCTCTTTCTTCCCCCCCTGGAATGAGCTGTGACGTCTGGAGGTGGGCAGCCATCTGAGGCCCTGAGGAGACAAGTGCCAAGAGCTGAGATTGGGGAGCAGGAACAGCAGGCTGCTCCTTGACAGCATCGCTGAGCAGCTGAGCCAGGCCTGGACCATCCTACCCTCCCCACATGGCTTCTTCTGTGAAACAAGCCTGACTTCTACTCCAGGTAGCTCTGTCCCTGCCCACCCTCCTCCAACCCAGCATCCTGTCCTTAGGTCCCTTGTCCTTCCACCCTTGGCCCTTGGCCCTGCTTTGCTCCTCTCCCCTCCTCTCCCATCCCCTCCCCCTTCCAGGTCACACTGTTCTATCAGTCCTTCCCTCCGGGGTGCCAGCCCTCCCTGACTTTGTCCCTTCCTCCCTCCTTGGCCATCATCATCATCTCTCCCTTATTTTCTATCCCTTCAGGTTTCAAACCAAATGATTCCACTCCCAGCCCCTCACAGTCATTGTGTGAGGTTGTGACACAGTTTGGGCCCCTGACATGTGAGCAGAAGTCTGTGAGGAGAGACCTGGGGAGACTTCGCTGTCTGGACGCCTGTGCAGGACAACCAGCCGCCAGGGGCTGACTCAGCTCAATTCAGGCCCGACAGAATCAGTGGCAGGAGAGAAATCTAGTGCCTGAGATGGGTCCTGCTTGGGTCCATGTACTGTGCAGGGGCCAGTTCATCATCTGTGCAGGAAAGCACCTCCCTCTGGCTTCCCCTACAGGGCGGTAGGATGAGGAGTGGTGTGGGTCTGAAGTAATTCCTGGTGTTCACCTGACTGCTGATTTGAAATTTCCCTCCAGTATTTTGTCACGTGGTCTGTCATTTCAAAACAGTATTGTTGGCAGGGTGAGAGGTTGTCAATGACTGTAGATTTTCTTTTTCACATCTTTATTGGAGTATAATTGCTTTACAATGGTGTGTTAGTTTCTGCTTTATAACAAAATGAAACAGTTATAAATATACATATATCCTCATATCTCTTCCCTCTTGCGTCTCCCTCCCTCCCACCCTCCCTATCCCACCCTTCTAGGTGGTCACAAAGCACCGAGCTGATCTCCCTGTGCTATGTGGCTGCTTCCCACTAGCTATCTATTTTACATTTGGTAGTGTATATATGTCCATGCCACTCTCTCACTTTGTCCCAGCTTACCCTTCCGCCCTCCCCATATCCTCAAGTCCATTCTCTAGTATGTCTGCGTCTTTATTCCCGTCTTGTCCATAGGTTCTTCATGACCATCTTTTTTTTCTTAGACTCCATATATATAAGGTGTTAGCATATGGTATTTGTTTTTCTCTTTCTGACTTACTTCACTCTGTATGACAGACTCTAGGTCCATCCACCTCACTACAAATAATTCAATTTCGTTTCTTTTTATGGCTGAGTAATATTCCATTGTATATATGTGCCTCATCTACTTTATCCATTCATCTGCCGATGGACACTTAGGTTGCTTCCATGTCCTGGCTATTGTAAATAGAGCTGCAATGAACATTGTGGTACATGACTCTTTTTGAATTATGGTTTTCTCAGGGTATATGCCCAGTAGTGGGATTGCTGGGTCATGTGGTAATTCTATTTTTAGTTCTTTAAGGAACCTCCATACTGTTCTCCATAGTGGCTGTATCAATTTACATTCCCACCAACAGTGTGAGAGGGTTCCCTTTTCTCCACACCCTCTCCAGGATTTATTGTTTGAAGATTTTTTGACGATGGCCATTCTGACCGGTGTGAGATGATAGCTCATTGTAGTTTTGATTTGCATTTCTCTAATGATTAATGATGTTGAGCATTCTTTCGTGTATTTGTTGGCAATCTGTATATCTTCTTTGGAGAAACGTCTATTTAGGTCTTCTGCCCATTTTTGGATTGGGTTATTTGTTTTTTTGATACTGAGCTGCATGAGCTGCTTGTAAATTTTGGAGATTAATCCTTTGTCAGTTGCTTCATTTGCAAATATTTTCTCCCGCTCTGAGGGTTGTCTTTTCGTCTGGTTTATGGTTTCCTTTGCTGTGCAAGAGCTTTTAAGTTTCATCAGATCCCACTTGTTTATTTTTGTTTTTATTTCCATTTCTCTAGGAGGTGGGTCAAAAAGGATCTTGCTGGGATTTATGCCATGGCTTGCTCTGCCTATGTTTTCCTCTATGAGTTTAATAGTGTCTGGCCTTACATTTAGGTCTCTAATCCATTTTGAGTTTATTTTTGTGTATGGTGTTAGGGAGTGTTCTGAATTCACGCTTTTACATGTAGCTGTCCAGTTTTCCCAGGACCACTTATTGAAGAGGCTGTCTTTTCTCCACTGTATATTCTTTTCTCCTTTATCAAAGATAAGGTGACCATATGTGCGTGGGTTTATCTCTGGGCTTTCTGTCCTGTTCCATTGATCTATATGTCTGTTTTTGTGCCAGTACCATGCTGTCTCGGTTATGGTAGCTTTGCAGTATAGTCTGAAGTTAGGGAGCCTGGTTCCTCCAGCTCCGTTTTTCTTTCTCATAATTGCTTTGGCTATTCAGGGTCTTTTGTGTTTCCATACAAATTGTGAGATTTTTTGTTCTAGTTCTGTGAAAAATGCCAGTGGTAGTTTGATAGGGATTGCATTGAATCTGTAGATTGCTTTGGGTAGTATAGTCATTTTCACAATGTTGATTCTTCCAATCCAAGAACATGGAATATCTCTCCATCTATTTGTATCATCTTTATTTCATCAGTGTCATAATTTTCTGCACACAGGTCGTTTGTCTACTTAGGTAGGTTTATTCCTAGATATTTTATTCTTTTTGTTGCAATGGTAAATGGGAGTGTTTTCTTAATTTCACTTTCAGATTTGTCATCATGAGGGTATACTGTAGATTTTTGAACCCTAGATTCCCCTCCTACAAGATTTAGCTGATTTTTACTCACTCCAGCAGGTATTAGTGTGACCACTATACCTCCACTCCACCATGAATCAGATCCACTGCAAAAGAGAAAGGCATCTGCATGTTTACAACTTTTAATAAACTACTTGTAGTTCATGATACATTTACTGAGGAAAAATATTTGGTGGAAGATTCTTAATATTTCATTTTATTGCTTTGGATTTAAAATCAATTAAAATATCCATTTCTCTAAAAATCGAAAACTATTCTGATAATATTGAATAGAATCTTACTGATGTAGATTGGAACATAATATAGGTTTGAATGAAAAGTAAATCTACCCAGATTGTTTTTGTTTTTTGTTTTATTTTGTTTTGTTTTGCGGTACGTGGGCCTCTCACTGTTGTGGCCTCTCCCGTTGCGGAGCACAGGCTCCGGACGCGCAGGCCCAGCAGCCATGGCTCAGGGGCCCAGCCGCTCCGCGGCATGTGGGATCTTCCTGGACCGGGGCACGATCCCGTGTGCACTGCATCGGCAGGCGGACTCTCAACCACTGCGCCACCAGGGAAGCCCCCAGATTGTTTTTTTTTTTTTAACTCTTTATTATGAGCCATTTGCCTTTCACTGGTTTCTTTGGATCAATCTGGAGAGGGTAGCAAATGGCATGTTTATACTTCTCAAAAAAAGCTGTTTTTTTTCTCCTGTTCAACAGAGGTCTCCTGACTTCTTTAGAGAGGTTGATGTCCATCCTTCAGTTTTCCTGCGTCTAGGATGGGAGCAGGGAGTGAGACAGTTGGGAGATGAAACAAAAACCAAGAGGAGGTCTGGGGAGTGTTACAAAGATGGGGAAGGAAGGAGGGACACAGCAAGTGAGAAAGTAGAGGGACCGCATGAGAAGGGAAGGAAAGGATGGAGCTGGCGCCCCAGGAGGGAGCAGGTCACCCAAAGGAGGCTCTGAGAGGAGGAAAAAGGCACAGGGAGACGAGAGGCTGGAGGAATTCCAGGGAAGCAGCAGGAAGGAACCCTCACCTGGAGAATCTCCTGCAGCTTCTTACACAGATGTTGACTCACTACTTCCAGCTCATCCCAGGGCTCAAAGGTTCTTCCCTGGTGGTCCACAAAGTTTTTCCAGCAGTGCTCAAACTCTGAGATGGAACAGGGGAGAGAAAGGTGAACTCCAGTCTGGGGAAGGGTTGGGGCCACAGGGCTGAAATGACTCTGCGGGACAGACTTTCCCCGTCATAATTTCACTTCCTCCTCTCTCCTTCCTCCTGGGGACTCAATAGCTTACCCCTCCAGCTCTTTCTTGCAGCTGGAATTTGAGGCAGCCCAATTCTCCTTTCTGGAAGTCCCCTAGTCCCTCTTGCATATCCACGCACTCCCCTTCTACCCCTCCCCGAACCAGCTCTGCTCCCCTGAACTTTCTCTTCCCATAGACTCCTTCCAGAGCCTAGCATCACCTCTCAGGCAGCACACAAAGGCCTCTCTACCAGGGATTCCCACCCTTCCCGTCCCTTTCTAGCAACTTCCCACAGGCCTCTCCCTGCCACCGCCCCACCCCCAGGAGACCCATGCTGACCCTGAGAGGTCATGATGGCGATTTGGGCCCCAGCCGCCTGCAGTGTGCGCAGCCCAGCCTCATAACCGGGGAGGCTGTAGATGCGGGAGGCAAAGATGTGCAGGCTCAAGTGGCTGTTCTCCCCCAGGAAAGTAGCCAGTTCCTGGGCACAGGTATGACAAGGGGTCCAGGAGATGAAACAGGTGAGCCTGTAACGCAGCCCCGGGTCCAGATTCCAGGAACGGATCCGGTCCAGGAAGTACAGCTCTGCATGGCGGGGCCACCCTGGTTCGTTAGCGCCCTACATAGACGAGGAAGAAAAGTGGACGGGGTTGGGGCAGGACGAGGCCAGCGTAGGCAGCTCGGTGAGGCACTGGCCCCCAGCGCTAAGCTAGAGCGGGCGCAAAGCCTCAGCACCAAGTGAATGATATTTCAATGCAGCATTTACATGATCCAAAGTAACGCAAAACTCCATGAGAGACATGGTATCAGTGTTTTCCAAAAAGCTGGGTGAGCAGTGATGACTTGTTATCGGCCGTCGGCTCCCTGTGGCTCTGCACAGCACTGAAACCCATCAGTCTTCATGCAAATGTTGATGTTTCGTTGATCACAGAATTGCGTTAATTTTGATTTTTAAACTATTGCCTTAAAATGTGACTCATCTTGATTTCTGAGTTTTCTGGAGCGCCTCTTATTTTGTGCCCGAGGCAGGGCCTTCAGGAGCCTCACCTAGTCCAGCTCTGCAGAGAGGAGGCCAGGGGAGCTCCCACGCTGGACTCCTGCCATGGAAGTGGGTGTTTCCTCCCTGGAGTGACTCACCCTGCTCTCCAGCTCCCCCTCTACCCCACCCCACATGTGCACCAAAACTCCTACAGCCTTCTACTCTGGGCCTCACCCTGTGCTGAGCCCGAGGCTGAGGGGCGTCCTTGGGCTAAGGACAGCTGGCAGTGGGGTTGCAGGGGTCAGCGCCCTTGACAAGATCTCTCAAGCAGTGGGCAGGGGTCCTGCCGGGCCCGCCTAAGTCCGTAGTGACTGAGGAAGAAGTCGGGCTCTCTAGCCAGAGCCTTCCCCCCGGCAGAGTCCGGGGAAGAACCCGGCCCCTTGTCCAGATGCCTTTCCCTCTGTCCCAACCCCTCCCCAGAGGCACAGCAGGAGAGGAGTAGCCGAGTCCTAGAGCCTGGGGTGACATTGGGCTGGAGGTACCAGGCCCTGGATTGCTGTGACTGGCTTATGACATGTGGCTCAAAGCTGCCAGTCACACAGCAAGTGTCCTCACCTGATTCCAAGCAGAGCAGCAGTAGCAACGGCAGGGACCAGGGGTGAGAGAGCTTGTGGGACCCCCTGTGTGCAACTGACAACCTTCTACCCTGAGTGTCCCACAATAGGGAGGCCCTGCCTGCTGCGGGCAGGCTGGGTCAGTCACCTTGTTCTGCACGAAGCCCTTGCTCTCGTCCGGAGGGACCCTAGCATCACCACCCAGGATCTCCACCTTGTAGCACAGGTAGGTCTTACGAGTGCTTATCTGATTCATGTAGTTCTCAGCGAAGGTGTTTTCATCCAACAGGCATCTACGGTCAAAGGCAGGAGAAGCCCGTAGACACGGGGCTCCTTCTGGGACTGCCCAGCGCCCCTCCCCTCCCCGCACACCCTTTCCTTCTGCACCCCACATCTCTGCTGGAGCCACGAGTCCTCCCCGTCTGACCCCCGCTGGGGGCTCCCAGGGAATTCAGGGTCTCCCCCCAGGAGCAATGCAAGATGCTCAGAGCCTCAATGAAGACCTGGCCCTCTGCCCAAAGTCAGACTGGGTCACGGCCTCTCCCCACCATCCCGCCCCAGTCCTAGCTCCCACTGCCCCGCTCCCCTGTAGCGTGGTACCTGGTCCCGGGCTCTGTGCTGGCCTCCATGAGTCAGTTTCTTCACCGTCCCTGGCTCTGAGTCTTCTGTTTCTGTGCTCGGTCACAGCCTGTGGCTTCCTGCCTGGAGCTCTTCAAGCACCAGGAGCCTTATATACGATCAGAGCACCTGGAAACCACTGTGTCAGCAGAGTTGGGCCTCACCCCTTCCTGAACTCTGGCCACTCATGACACCGTGAACTTCTCCGCCCAAACGTCACAGCCTCACGGACCAGTTAAGTTTCTTTTTCCCTGTTCTGACAAAGGCCCGACTTGGATGCCACCGGGACTGACCATGGGGGCCAGTGAGGTCTGCGAGAGTGCGGTCATCTGGGCAGCAGGGACCAGCAAGGCAGGCGGTGAGGGGACAGACGAAAGGACAGGTGTCCGTACCCTGGAGGACAAGCTCCATGGCGGCCCATCGCTGAGTCTCCTGCAGCAGCCAGCACGGCCGTGGCCTGGCGCAGGCTCCCTGGGGCCCGCCGGGCTGAGGGACCCGCGGGGCGCTCAGTGGGGAGGGGAGAAGCTGCTCGGACAGGCAGGCAGCCGCCTTCATCCTTGGGGAAGGGAAGGGAAGGGGAGAAACCTGGGCCGAGCTCTCCTTAGGAGCCCCCCGTGCAGGGCCAGCCGACTGGACGTGGCGCATTTTCACCCCATTACACAGAGGAGAAGAGAAAGGCTCCCGGAGGCACCAGGCTGGACCAGGACCACGTAGGGACACGTGGCTGTGGGACGTACTTCGGCCTCAGAAAGCGTGGCCGCCCATGCTCTTCCTGTCCCCCTCCACGCCCGAGGAATGTGGGGACTGTGTCTTCCAGCCCCATGTGGGACCCTGGCTTGCAGCCCTGGGGCAGGAGGCTCGGGGAGCAGACACGGACCACAGTGCTGGGACCACAGAGGAGTTGGGCCTGGCTCAGCTGTGTCTGTCCCAGGACCTTCTGTACTGTTTCCTGCCTGGGACTTACAGCTTATTGGCTTGGTTACAGCTGACGGTCCCTCCTCAGGATGTCCTGTGGGACCTCAGGTACCACATATATGACAAAGATCAGGCCTGGCACACAACTGTGCCTGAGCACACAGAACTGACCATGGTCCTGACCCACAAGGAACACACACACACACACACACAAACACACACACACATAAACACACACAAACACACACACACACACACACACACACACACACACACACACACACAGAGCGACTTGACAAAAAGGAAACACATTCAGGTTCCCCAGACTCACCCAAACTATCTCAGCTCTGACGAAGATCAGAGGATGTCGACACTTCCCAAAGGGTGGTTTCTGGGAAGAAACTCATCATCAAATCTGCTCCTTTGGTTTCGGTTTCTGGGTTCCAACAGCAGCCCCTCCTCCCCATCTCCCCACTCCATTCCTTGAAGTGACCCAAAAATCCACAAAGTATATGCCCTCTGGGCAAAGGGTGCAACACCAGTGGACAGGTGGGCTTACACTAGGAGAAGGGCCCCCACCCTGTGCCGTCAGAGGGCAGGTTCCTGGCAGACGTGCCTTCATCACCCCAGGGCCCCCATTCCCAGGGGCCCATCTCCCCAGGCCCCGGTCTCAGAGTTTCGCCTCTGACACAGGGACCCTGAGGTGCTTGGGACATGACACAGCCTGGGGACACTTCCGAGAGCCGGGCTGGGCACAGGCAGCCCGTCCTTCATCCTGCTGTAGGGAGCAAAGGGCACCCTCAGGAGGGCAGAGCTGGGACCTTGCACAGAGCAGCCTGGCCAGGACTCTAGAAACTTCAGGATCATTCACTCCAGTCCCTGAGGCACTCAGGCTGAGCAGCCCCGCCCCCTTCCCCAGGGTCCTTTGGCCCTGTCTGTCTCTCTGACCCCAGTCTGGGCTCTCCCGGGGCATCCAGCCCTGTTCCCAGTTTTCCTGATGGAGGAACGGGGGAACGGGGCATATCCCAACACAGTCTGCACCTGCTCAGAGGGCCACTCTCCCCACACGCACCCTCCCTCACTGGGGGACCTAGGTCCTGCCTCCCCTTCTGGGGCTTCCCCACACTTTGGTGGAGAACTCCAGCAGGGTGTAGGAATTTCCCCACATTTTTACTCTACGTGACAGAGGCAGACATAGGGGAGGGGCTGTCATTCCCCAGAAAGGACAGGACCTCTTTTCTTCTTTCTTCTTACCTGATGGACTGAGGTGAGCTGCACACTTTCATCTCATCATCACATCAGTGGTGTTGGGCGCTACTTTGGACCCAGAGTTCGTCACTAGGTTCTATTGATGCCTTTACCTAACCATGTCTTCTCTGGCCTCAGGGAGACTGGTCCCTGGGCCCCTGCTGCGCCGAGGCCCTTGGGCTCTGGGGAGAGCATGTGGGAAGAAGCTGGGGCAGGAGTAGAAGAGAGGGGTGAGGCCCCCCCAGATCTGAGTTAGCAACTCATCCTCTCGTCCCTTCTCGCTGTGACTCAGGTGACTCAAGACTTAAAACGTTTGGGAGAAGTTCAAACACTGTCACACGTGATGTCCCTCTAACCTTCACAGGCCATGGATTCTCTTAGCCGCCTGTGTGCTGGTCCATCGCTGCCACACGGACCCCCCAGATGTGGAGACAAGCTGCTAGGCTGGCTGGTCTGCATTGAAGACGGACAGCCGGGAACCAGCAGGAAGCATAAGGTCCAGGGGTGACTGGCCAGGCTGGGGTATGGGGAGTGGGGAAGGAGGAGGTGTTGGAGAACATTCCAGAAGAGGACACCTCAGAGCTACTGCACGAGGAGCTAGACTGGCGGGGAAACCTCCCCTGGAGATGTGGGAGCATCTCCCTGCCATGGAGCCCCTTCCTTGGTCTCCCCACAAAATGCTCCAGCACAGCCTTGAGGGGCAAGCGATGCGGGGCCGAGCCCAGTGAGATGCTGGTACCCCAGCTGCTGGAACCAGCTGGGAAGGGGCGGGGCAGGCTCAGGGGCTCAGTACCCCAAGGGTGCCCCAGGGCACAGGTGCTTGGCAGCAGGAGCCCCAGACTTCTCAGGTTACCCTCTGCCCCCAGCACGGGGCTTCCTGCACCAGAGACCCTCCCTCAGAAATCTACGGGGGCACAGGCGACCCAGGAGAACTTAGTGGATTGAGTGACGAGGAGACTTTGTAGCGGCGCGGGGGGAGAGCTTGGTCTGGGTCAGGACCACATCCTCCCTGCCTGGAAGGCAAGAGCTGGGGGATGGTTTGGGGGAGATTCTCAGGGACCCCAGCCAGGTCTCTGTAAGCCCGGTCCTCGTAGACACCCCGTCTCCTGCTCAGGAAGACTGGAGGCTGCTGGGTATGCGAGGCTCCGCTGGGTGTGCAGACAGTGACCTGGGAAGTGTGGGCGCTGCTCAGGACACCCCACACCCCAGGGCCGTTCTCACCCAGAAACCACCTGCCACAAAAATGGGGGCTGAGCCACCACGCGGGGGACAGTGTCTGCTCTCCAGGGGACCAGGTCTAGAGGGCAGAGGCGACAGAGGGGCCCCAGCCCAGGGTGGGGGTGGGGTGGAGGGCACCCTCCATGAGGAGGGGCACCCACCCGAGAAGGAGGGGACACCGTGCTGAGTTTCCTCCCTGAGGATGTAGGTCAGCAGCCTGGTTCCCGTGCAGGCGGCCAGGCTGGGCCTCTGGTAGCCAGCTCCCCCGGGAGGAGTGCTGGGCCAGGACAGGGGCTCTAAGAGGAGCCGGATGGGGAGTCAGTGGGACAGGGGGCAGCCCCTCGGGGACAAACAGGGCCAGCTAGGGCCAGGGTCCCACTTGGAGCTGGAAGACACAGTCCCCACATTCCTCGGGCGTGGAGGGGGACAGGAAGAGCATGGGCGGCCACGCTTTCTGAGGCCGAAGTACGTCCCACAGCCACGTGTCCCTACGTGGTCCTGGTCCAGCCTGGTGCCTCCGGGAGCCTTTCTCTTCTCCTCTGTGTAATGGGGTGAAAATGCGCCACGTCCAGTCGGCTGGCCCTGCACGGGGGGCTCCTAAGGAGAGCTCGGCCCAGGTTTCTCCCCTTCCCTTCCCTTCCCCAAGGATGAAGGCGGCTGCCTGCCTGTCCGAGCAGCTTCTCCCCTCCCCACTGAGCGCCCCGCGGGTCCCTCAGCCCGGCGGGCCCCAGGGAGCCTGCGCCAGGCCACGGCCGTGCTGGCTGCTGCAGGAGACTCAGCGATGGGCCGCCATGGAGCTTGTCCTCCAGGGTACGGACACCTGTCCTTTCGTCTGTCCCCTCACCGCCTGCCTTGCTGGTCCCTGCTGCCCAGATGACCGCACTCTCGCAGACCCTCACTGGCCCCATGGTCAGTCCCGGTGGCATCCAAGTCGGGCCTTTGTCAGAACAGGGAAATCAAAACCTATTCGTATTAGAATCAGCCAAACTGAAGGGCAGGGGGGATGCGTGGCTGACTGTGGGGGAGTGGCGGTGTGGGGCTAGTGACAATTGTCCTCGTGGGTAGACGGCTGCCTGAGGATGGACCGGCGGTGGGAGGCAGTTTCCTCACTTCTCACAAGCACTAGGCTTCAGTGAGCATCGGATGAGCTCCACAAATGTAATACGGAATGAAAGATGTCACATATGAAGGAGTGCATTCTGATTCCATCTATATGAAGTTCAAACTCAGACAAAGTCAATCTATGATCATAGAAGTCCCAACATGTGTTCCCTCTGGATGGGGGACAGCAGGGAGGGGACACGAGGGAGTCCCCACCTGGGATTCTAGGAGTAGCCCCACCTCAGTCTGGGTGGTGGTTACACTGCCTAGAAACCGAAGATTCTGCACTTAACTGTAAGTTATACCCCCATTTTAAAAAAGTTACGAAGCCTGTATTTTTAATAAGGAAAAAGTTTTCCTAAAAGACATAAATATAATGTCCCAAATAAATTGATAGAAATGCAAAACAAACAGAATCACCATGACTGTTCTCAGGGTTTTTGGTTTTCTTTTTAATGAGGAAACAAAGGGCTGTTTACGTCCAAATGACAGACTAAGTGTGGTTGAAAGTGAAGAAGTGAGAGAGAAATGAGGCAGGGAGGCGGCCCTTGCAATGTGCTGAAAACTAGAAAAGGGATAAAGCCACTGTCATCAAAAGAGCGCTGTGTCACCCAGGACCCGAAATAGACATGAGGGAAACACTGCAAAGAAACACATACAAGTATATCTGGGAACCTAAATGATGACAAAGGTGGAGTGGCAATGCGGTGGGGGCAAGGTGGGCATCATTCATTTCATGTTGTCTGCTGAACGAGAAATAAATCCTCATGGCGCCTCCACCGTGAAGCGACATTCTCCTACACCACTGCTCCTATTCAACTCTCTCAGCGCCCCCACCATCCCCACCCCAGCCTTCCCCGAACCAACAGAAGAAGAAAGGCCCCCTCCCCTCGCCTCCCCATCTAGAAACCTGTCTCCCTCGGTACTCACGTTCATTCACCCAACACGGATTTTATTGAGCAGCTACTAGGTGCCACATGCTACCCTAGGGGCTGGATGAACTTTAAGCAAAAGAGACAAGATTGACTCCATGGTCCACCCGTTCGAAGCCCAGCCTTCCATCTGTGCTCTGGGGCTCCTGCCCTCTCTCTTCCAGGGGGTTTCTCTTCTGTGGCTTTCCACATCATGCCCAGCACTACTGGATCATTCCCATTAGCAAACCACACGCTCAGGTACCTCCCACCTTTAAAAACAAACACTCTCCTTTGAGTCACATCTCCCTCCATTCTCTTCACTCCTTCATGGAGAAAAATAGACGTAAAGAAATATACTTCTATCAGAAAGTTTTATGTATGTTCTATTCTGCATGTTTTGCTTCCTGCCCACCTGTCTGCTTTCCTCCCATGACATTCCCTCTCCCCACCACTCCAGAGAACCTGCTCTCGACAAGGTCACCGATGATCCCCGTGTTGCAAGAAGAAAGGGATAGTTCGGGACTCCCCTGGCAGTCCGGTGGTTAAGACTCCACACTTCCACTGCAAGGGGCGCAGTTTCGATCCCTGGTCAGAGAACTAAGAGACCACACACCTCACAGCACAGGCCCCCAAAAGAAAAAGAAGAAAGGGATATTTTTCAGTGATCCTCTTGCCCCTCCACCCAGCAGCAAGTGACATAGCTGAGCATAACCTCCTTCCTGAGACACGCTGCTCCCCCACTGTGGTGACCACCCTGTCCCATGGCTTTCCCCCTCTTTCTGCTCACCTCCCAGCTTCTCTGTCTCCTGGGTGATCCGGCCCCTCCCCCTGTGCATCCCACCACCTCCCTAGGAGACTCAGCCTGCTCCCCAGGCACGCGGCCCACGTCTCCCGTCCTGCTGCTGCCCCGAGCTCCACACTCAGGTACCAGCTTCCTACGAGACATCTGCCCGGCACTGCACACTTTTGCCCCACAGACCTTTTTGTGGGGTATTTTCCCCCAAAGCTCATTTTCCTCAGATTTCCACAGCTCTCTGAAGGATATCGCTACTTACCCAGCGAGTGGTGAGCTTGAGCCCAAACCCAGCGGAAGATCTTGATTCCTCTTCTCTGTAACATCTAATCCATAACCAAGTCCTTGTGATCGATGTTGCCGTCAGACGCACTGTTAATCTCCATCCCCACGGCCTCCGCTGTCACCTGTCACTGGGCTGATGGATGAAACTTCCAGCTTCCATTCTGCTTCCCTCTATTCAGTGTCCTCAGAGGTGCTGGAGGGAGGCTTTAAACAGGAGTCAGGGCACCTTGATTCAACTCCTTACCCCCTCAAAACACACACACACAGCCGCACAGCATGCGGGATCTTAGTTCATCGACCAGGGATCGAACCCATGCTCCCTGCAGTGGAAGTGTGGATTCTTAACCACTGGACCACTGGGGAAGTCCCACAGAGTCTTGTACTCAGCATATGATCTAAACTCCTGCCTATGACCAGCTGCTACCACCTCCCTGCCCCCAAACTTTGCTCCCCAGACACACCTCTCTTTTCTGCTTCCTTCCTGCCTCAGGGCCTTTGCACTTGAGTGATCTCTGCCTGGAAAGCTCTTCCCCCAAGGTCCTCCCAGGGCTAACTTTTTCTCATCCTTTCTGTCCCGGTGCAGAAGGTACCAGCTCTGTGCACCCCATTTAAACAGCTCCCCACCTTCTGTTCGTCTCTACTACAGCGTCCTGTTTATCCCTTCCGCAATTGCCTCGATCTGGAATTATCTTATCCGTTCCCATATTTTCTTATTTCCTTTGTGTCTCCCGCCGTCATGACATCATCCCCTTGTGGTCTGGAGCCCCCTGCACCTTACTCAAGTTTGTACCCAGCACCTTGGACCAAGCCTACCTCCCCAGTAGGTACTCAATTAATATTAGTCAAAAGAATGAACACAAAAACAAAATGAATAAGTAAAGTGATGGGGAAAATGAGACACACATTTTTTCTTCCTCCACAGAAGGAGATTAGAGAGCAGGAGGGTTGGTGATGAGAGCGAGGCTCTAAGCTTTCCCGTGAGATACCTCTGTACTACTTGACTTGTTGCGTTAAGCAAGCACTTTGTAAATCATTAAATGCTAATAAAGTCGACTTGTTAGTTGTCCCAGCAAAGGGTTTTCAGTAAAACCCAGATTAAATTCTGAGCTCTGGAGAGCGTTTCCATGTTAGCATGTCCAAACTCCCTATTCTCCGCCCGCCCCTCCGTGTGGCTGGTCCTCCGTCAAGAAGAGGTTACAAAGAAGGGGAAGCAGGGGTTATGTATTGGATGTGTTGTAGATTGGATGTTATGTAGAAGGATGTGGCCGAGGATGAGGAATCCACGGTGAGGCCCGGGTCCCCCTCCCCATCCTCCCGGGGCAATGTCATCTTTTCTCTGCTTCCCGGGCTTCCCAGGTGGTGAAGTTGGCTCCTTCCCCCGAGAGCCCCCCGTCTCCTCCTGGGCTCTCCCTGGATCTTCTCCAGAACAGCCCTGGCCGCCGGCCCTCCCTCTGGGCTCCTTCCCCCAAGGAATGGACCCTGTCCCTGGGGCCGGCTGTGACCGCTCAGATTCTCCAGCCCAACCGCCTCCAGGCTCCTGGCCTGGGCTTTGTGTCACCCTGGATCCTTTTCTGCCTGTAGTGCCAAACCCTGTCATTCCCGCCTTTGTAAGGGCTCTGGGGCCTCCAGTATCTCTGTGGCTACTGGACACACGTGTCCTTACCTTCTAACTTCGTAGGCAGATTTCACGGCTTTCCAAAACCCTTGGACCGGCTAACCTTTCAGAACGTCGACTGAGGTGGAACTGAAACTACGTCGAAATGGATTTAAAAGTTCACAACGTGTTCAGAGAGAATGTCCTTATTTCAGATCTTATGACCAAAAAGCCAGGTAGCCAGGCAAGGTTACACTGGTTCCTATGACGACGCTGTCAACTGTAAGAGCATCTCATTCACTCTTAAGTCCTGCTTACTGATTATTTCTATTATAACTACAGCCTATGTGAGCAATGTTTTAAATATAACTCTGTCATTAAAATGACTCATTCAAAAAAATTAAAAATAAAAAAATAAAATGACTCATTCAATGAGTATCTGATCATATAGAAAATGAGCAAAGTGAAAAGAATCTGAAATGAAAATCGTACTCAAGAAGTCACTGCAGAAACTGAAAAGGAAGAACGCATGAAAGGAACTGTACCTGTCCACATCTGCAGGATTCCATTCCTAGAGCACTCCAATATTTCTCAAAATTTCTCAGTATAGCTTGTCTTTTAGACACAACTGTCAGCCATTTGGTTTTAGCATTTGATACTGGTTTTAAAACATTGTTTCCTTCAACAATGAAAACGCTCCTTCCGAGCCTCTGGGGAGACCAGAGCTGTGCCTTTCCTCCTGCTTCGTGATCCCCAGATCTGTCTAAACTGCATTTTAGTTACGGCTCCTGCATTTCCTCTCACCCCACCTTTACTTTCACAGCCTAATGCACTTACTTTACAAGGTTACAGGGCAAAGGCAATAACACAGTGGTGTGCACCCCGCTGTAGAGACGGAGCTGGCATTTCTGCAGACATCTGGGCCTGTGCCGGCTGCCATTCTAAGGCCTTGGTTACAGCAGTGACACTATGGCCAGGCCCCTTCTTTCATACAATCACAGTGATGAATTCTGTACAAAGGAGTGGCAGGCCCACCTGAATACAGCAAAGTGTCAATTTCATAATTAAATGAGAAATAAATGATGGAGAGGTGGATAGATGACAGATAGATAGATAGGTAGATGACAGATGATAGATAGATAGATAGGTGATAGATAGACAGGTAGATAAGTAAACAGGCAGATGGAAGATTGAAGACAGACAGATAGATGATGGATAGAC